CTTTCTCTTCTTCCTTTTGCTGCGCCCCTACGCTTGCAAGCCTAAAGGTGCTGTCCTGTGCCTGCCTCCACCTCTTTAACGAGCCTCTTTTCCTCTCTTTCTGTGTCTTGTTCGTCTCTTCCTCTCTCCTCTGTCTTGCCACCCTGTCTGGATTCTGCTACCCCTTCTAAAGATACTACGCGGACTTCCTGTACCCCCCGGAGCTGAGCGCTCGTTTAAGTGACCTGACGCTAGAGGGGGAGCAGTCCTCCAGTTCTGACCCCCAGACCCCGGGGACACTGGTCTGACCCCTTCTGATATGCCCTTTGTTGGCCCGGGCACGACTTTAATCTGGGGAGCACACAGCTGACCTCACCAAACCCTGGGGTGTGGTTGCTCTCAGTCCTGGGGGTTGGGGGGTGCCGACCTGCTCTTCCAAGGCCCCTGGCTCCTTGTAGATGCACGAAGGTGTCTGACACCCCGCTTCCCCTCTCACACTGTGCTGGGAACTGGGGCCCTCAGCCAGCTCAAAAGAGGGGGGATAGTGTAATGGGGACTCTGAGCCCCTTCCTCCATTTCTGTTTACAGTTGTGATTTAGGTATTCACTGTCTTCCCCCCCCCAACACTAGACGTTTTATAAAAGGGAAACTGATCTCGTCCTGGTTGGGTTCATTCCTGTCCTCATGCCCACCCTGTTCCATTCAGGAGCACACCCCCCACCAATAAAATGGACCATAGAGGGTCTCAGGGCCCTGTTCGGGGCAGCCAGGAGACTCTGGTGTGAACAAAACTCCCTGCCACCCCCCACCAGAGCAGTTCTTGGGGAGGTGGGCTCTCTGCCCACATCTGGAAGGACTGAAGTCTGGGTAGAGGGCTTGGATTCATTTTCCTACCCCTGGGGGTGCCTGAGGGAGCCCCAGTCCTTGTCTGCCTGTCTGTGCCCGCTGCCTCTGCCCACAGGATGAGATGGCCCAGCCTCTGGTGGCACCGTCTGCCCCATTCTGTCCCAATCAGGAAGCCCTGCAGGAGGGCCAAAGGGCAGAGCTATCGGGTGTGTTGTGTCCTGGGATGCTGCGGTGGTGGAACCTGGTATCTAGTGGATGCCAGTAAAATCCTCAGGTGACGTCTGGCCACAGCTACGTCACATCTTCCTTTGGCTTTCTTTTTTCTTTTTTAACAAATCTACACAAGCTGTGTTTTCTATGATACCTATCTGTGACTTTCTGGAGCTGGGGGTCCCCCTACCTCCTTTACCTGGTATTAAAGTTTTCTTTTTTTTTTTTTTTTACCAATGGATCTGGGCCCAAGACACTAACCCACACTGGAAGGGGATTTCTATAATAAATGTGTAAACTGAACTCAGTGTGTCTCTCCTCTGTCTGCCTTGCCTGGGGCCCCCACACATGTGGGTAAGACCAGGTAATATAGTTTTATGATGCCACATTACAAAAGATACAACACCAGAAATAGCCTGTGATAATGTCATCCACTCTGGACTGACTTGCTGTGATGTGGGGCAACATTTTTGCCTGTCTGTGCTCAGATTCCTTGCCAGCCCTGAACGAGAGCCCTCAGTGATACAAATGATAGGAAACACTCTGCCCTTAACTATCTTGTGCGTGAATGCCACTCTAGAGGTAACTGGTTCAAAAAAGGAGCTGAGAGCGAGCGGCCCCCCTGCCTTCAGTCCACATACTTGACAGAAAGAGATCCAGAGTCCAGCAAGAACGGAAAAGCAGAAGGCCACTTCTGGTCATTGAAATGCATGGACTTTACCCCAGAAGCCCACATTGGCTCGAGCGATGCAACAGCCTTTATTGTTGCAGCAACACTGATACAGATGCCCCATGCCAGGTCAGGGCTTGGCTCACCTCACCCCATCCCACCCCACCCCACCCCATGGTCCTCATCACTGTAGAAATTTGGAAGCTGGAGGGAGGCAAGTGGGACTTGTGAGTGTTTGGGTCACCTGGAACCAAGGGTTCAACAAGGTCAGGATGCCTGAATCCTCTGTCCTGAAGGGGGCTGGGAACACTTGGGGCCAGGGTTCAAGATTTGGCAATGCCCTGACCTGGTTTCAAAGCTGGGGTAGGGTAAAGAGCCTTAATCCCGGGTTCAAGAGAATGCCTTGGTCCCAGATCCCAGCTTTGGGGATGAACATGGTAGATGGGCAGGTCCCAGACTGGGGGCTGGAGTATCTCTGGGTCCAGAGTTTGAGGCTGGCCATGGATGCTCTGGTCTCCAAGCCCCAAATTCAGGGCTGGGGAAGAGTGGTGCCCTAGGTAATGGGGGCTGGGTAGGAGAGATATCCCAATTTTGGACCTGGGTGGGGGAGCGGTCTCACATGTCCTCTGCTCTTTGAACTGGATGGGCCCCTCAATTTTATGGGCTAGGAAAGGGCTCTGGGTCCCGGTACTGGTCAGGGTGGGGTGGCATTCTCCAGGTCTTGGGTACAGATCCTAGACTCCTAGGATCCAGCTTCCTGCTCTTGTCCCAGCGCCTCCAGTAGCAGCCCCATTGGCGTCCGCTTGAGACCAATACTCTCAATCTTGTTCTCGATCTTGTTCTTGAGGTTTCGCAGGCGCAGGGAGGCGTGCACCAGAATAACTGCGGGCAGTGCCGAGAGGAGTGGGGTCAGTGGGACAAGACCTCAGCTTCTAGCCAATGGGGGCTGAGTGGGGAACTGGAGCACAGGCAGGCCAATAGAGTGGCCAGTGGCCTGGATGCCTCTGATCTTAAAGTGTGGCCCAGGAATGAGCCTCGCAACAGGGGCGTGACTAGGGAGGGCATAGGGTAACAGGGACATGGCGGGTGGAAGACAATACCAAAAGTGAGGCCTGAAAGGGCAGTAATGAGAGGGGTGTTCCCAGAAGGAAGGCAAATACAGGGAAAGCGCTTTGTCAAGGGGGTGTGGCCATGCCCGCCTGGCGTCCCAGCCCCCTCTTAGGGCAGGGCTGGCCTGCCACTGCGCGCAAGCGCTGGCCGCTTATCAGGCCGGGCCGTCGCGGGGTAGCGGATACTCACGAAGCACTGGCCCTGCGATGCTGAGCAGGAAGGTGCAAGCGCCGCCCACGGCCCAGAGAACAAGGAGGCCGAAGGCAAGCACTGCAGTCAGGCAGGCGGCGGGGTGGCTGCGACGGCAGCGGCGCACAGCTGCTTGAGTCTCAGCCGCCCACACCAGCACACCAAGGGCCACCGTCACTACCAGCGCGCTTAGGAGGGTGTGCAGTGGGCGCATGTACCTGCAAGGACAATGGGACTAAGCTAGCCCAGCAGACGGGGGTTGGTGGGGAGGGCTGCCCAGCCTCCAAGCCTCCCGGACCACCATCCACTCAATCCCGCGCCCCGAGCTTTGGTTTCCCCTCCCCCCTTTAGGGTCCCCCAGCCCGGCAAATAACTCCTGCCAGCCCTGTCTCCCAACAGTTCCACCCTTCAGGGCTTCCGACTCCCAAGAGCCCTGTGGGCCCTCATTTCTTTCTTGTCAATCTTACAGTCCAATCTTCCTTAGCTCTCCCGTTTCTGGCCCTCTCATCCGGCTAGGCCTCCAGGCTCCCAGCCCTTCCCAGTTCTTTCCTTCCAACCCTACCCACCCCCGCAGGGCCCCTCTCCAACCCCCTAGACCCCACCCCCGCAGGGCCCCTCTCCAACCCCCTAGACCCCACCCCCAACTCCTATGGGCCCAGCCCCGTAGATTCCCCTTCCAGGCATTCTGTCTCCAGACATTTCCCACTCCCTGGAGTTCTTACAAGACCCCTTCCAGACTTCTCCACTTCAAATTCCCTATCCAAGTTCCCACTTCTTATAGACCTCTCCATCGTTGCTAGAACCCCTTGAAAGGGTCGCTTTCAACCCTGCCCAAATCCCTCCAGGTTCTCCACCCTTCTCTGCTCTCAGGCCTTCCACCCCTGGTTCAAGTTCCCCAAGAGGTACTTGCTCCTGGAACGTTCCAATCACAGCCAGGCTCCCGTCCAAGCTCAGAGCCTCTACCAGCCCATCCTCCCAACCCTTCAACTTGACCACATCCCTGTCCCTGCCCGAAGTCCTCCAGGGCCACCTTAATCTGGCCCCATCACTCACATCTTCCCCCTCTACCCCAACTTTCACTTTCAAGCCCTCCTTATCTTCAGGTCCAGCTCCTTACCCAGTCTCTCCTCCAGTCCCACATTCTCCATCCTCCTGACCTTCTATCCTCGGGGCCCTAGCCCACCCAAGGCACTCCTTATAGCCACGTTTGGACTTCCTTCAAGTTTCCCCTCCCAGGCCCTGTAGGTTCTCCATCTCTAAGGAACTTGCCCTTCCAGCCTTGCCATCCCCCATCTCAAGATCCCGCGGGTGCACCCTCCCTGCCCCGCAGGCGTCCCAGGCCAACCGACATCTCCCTCCCTCCCTCACCCAGCCAGAGCGAGACTGAAGACGAAGCACAGAAGGTAGTTAGTCTGGTAGTAGAGGAGGTTGTTGATGACGCGGTGGCACCAACGCTGCGGGTCGCACGGATCCGGAGCCGCCAGGCGCGCCGACCCCAGAACGAAGTCGTCCAGGGCGCGTAACGGTGGCAGCCGCACCTCCGACATCCTGCCGGTCAATGTAGCTGGACCAGCCAGAAGAGCCGCCGGACTACAACCCCCGTTACACCCCACGCCACTGCGAGGGACACCGGGAAATGAAGTCTGGACCGAGCAGCCGCTCTCTTAACCAGCTGGGTGGACTACGCAACAGTAGTACATGTGACCGGAAACACCGGCAAACACGCCAGAACTGTAAGGCTGCAAGGGCTGCCGGGAAATCAAGTCTCCACAGCTGGGAGAGACGATTCCATTCGTCCCCAGGTGGGGGCGCCCGAGGGCGACTGTTCTGGGAGGTGTTGATGGCACAAGTACGCAGCAGGCATTCTAGGACATGCAGATAGGAACTGTCAGAACAGGGGGCCAATCCTGCTTCCTTGTCCTCAGGGTCCAAGAGGGTCACACATACTTGGAACTTCCTCCAGGCCCCACCCACACCCCCCAGGTCCAGCCGTGAATACTATCAAGGGCCTTTTATTCACATTCACATCAGAGATGTCTCTTTCTGGGAAGGTTTTTTAATCCCCACAGATTTAATCAGGGCACTCCCTCTGGGTCCCTAGCAGTCTTCTTCAGGCTGGGAGCCCCAGGTGGTCTGCTCCCTCCCTGGGTCCCTGGCCTGGCCCTGCAGGCACACAGTCACCGAGAAGTGCTTGGGGGAAGTGAGCTGTTTAGGCATAGTGCTGCCGAATGGAAGGTGGGCACCTGCCCCATTAATGCTTGCGGGCTGGTAGCTTCCACAGCACTCCTGATCCCCTGAAGGCTTTGCAATCTGCTGCCACTGCAGGACCCTTGCACAACCCACAGTGTCCTTAAAAGTCATCATCATCACAGATGTCAAGGTACACATCAAAAGCCTCTCTGTTGCAGTTTCCATCAGGAGTGAAGACATATTTGTGGAAGGTCCCATCCACACAGATGGCTGGAAGAGGGGGGGAACGGGTTAAAGGTTAAAACCTGCTGAAGCCACATGCTCCGATCCTCTCCAGCGACCCAGAGCCCATGGTCTACCTCCAGGCCTTTGTCCACATGCCATCCCTCTCATGGTGGCGTTGAGCTGCCCACTCTAGCTCTCTCAGGCTTTCCATGCCCTAAAATTCCTGCAGGTCCAAAATGCAGGACTTTCCCCATGCCATACCCCGAATCAAGAGCCATTCCCACTCACCGATGACAGAGTTGACATTCTTGGAAGTATTGCGACCGAACGCGCAGATGCAGGCTGACTCAGCAGGCACCGTGAAGCTCGCCAGGCTCCACTGAGAGTCCACGTACTGCCCAATCATAGGCCCCACCTTGCCCACACGAGCCAGCCTGCAGGCAGCACTGGCTAAGCCCAGGTGTGGTACATGGGCAGGGGGATGGGGACACAGCAGGGCAGGGCAGGGCGTACTCACGCGGAGCGACGGTTGAGGCGGGTATCCTTCAGAGCAAAGATATGGACTGTGCCCTTGTCACTGGAAGCGCAGAGGAAGGAGGAATCGTGGCTGAAGTTGATGCTGGAAGACACAACCAGCAGTGAGGCCCATGTGCCATGTGGCCTGGGGTCACCAACCCACCACACATACCCTATGCTCACCAGTAGAGGGTGGCAGGGTCAGTGCCTCGGCGCAATTCCACCAGTTTCTCCTTGGACTGTGTGTCAAAAAGGCGAATGAGGGTGCCTTTCTGAGAGGCTGAAGCTACTACAGTGCCTGGCTGGTTCAGGGACACACAGGCCACGTCACTCTGATGGGCGTTGATGGTAAACGGAGCAGATGAAGTGCCAGGCTTTGTGCTCGCCAGGTCCTGTGGCAGAAGGAGCACTTTGGGCTTGGGGTAGTCCAGAAGGCAGAGGTCAACCATCCACACAGGAGCCAGCCCACCCACTTACCCACCTACCCTTGCCCACTAGGCAGCTCACCACAAGTTGCAGACTCCCACACTTGTGTCCTGGGAACACCAGCAGCTGTTTCTCCAGGCTGGGGCAGAGGTCACAAAGCCCTAGGGTGTGAGGACACAATGTTGGTGGAGCGGGCACTGGTGAGGGGGAGCAGAGTCTCAAAATGGACAGAAGCTGCATAAGGGCCAGGCCTTGACCTTCTGTGATCTAGGTTACCCATGGAACCCCCCAAGTGGCCAGGCAGACTCCCCACCTCCCCATGCAGCTGTGGCAGCCCCAGGAGGGCCCAAGGATCCCTGGCACAGCCACCCATGTCCTTACTGGGTGTCTCTGACCTGCTATCTGGGGCACCCGGGGGTGGGGGGGGAGAGAGAACTGGCTAAAAGGATGATGGACAGACTGAGAATGTAAGCAGCTCTCAGTCCACCTGAGCATTTCTACAAAGACTCTCTCTCTGCCCCCTCTTTCCTGGCTTCTCTGGTGCCTCTTCCATTCTCTCATTTCTGTCCCTCTGCCCCATCCACTGCCTCCTGCCCTCACACCTGCGTATCTGGGTCCTCTCACCCTTGGGGTTGTCCCGGGTGTCAAACTCGAACAGCTTTCGGGGACTGTCAGGGAAGGAGTACACATAGATGCGGTTCCTCAGCACGATCACAATTCTGTGGGCATCACACAATGCAGGATGTCCGTAAGGGGAGGGCAGGATGCCCATCCAGGACTAACCCTCTTGCCTGCTGTGGGGGACCTCCTACCTCCCCCACCCGGGTCCTCCTCAGGCTCACTTGTCATGGCGCATGCGCACAGCCAGCACTGGCTTGGTGAAGGTGAACTCCAGCACCAGCTTGTCCTTGGAGTCCTTGCCCTCCCGGGCATCGTCCCAGATCAGCACTGCTGGGCAGGTGGGTACGTTGTCGGGGCCAAGATTTAGGGCGAGGGGCAGCCCTGGTGACACAGGACCCACCCCTACTCCCCATGGGACCTCAACCCACTTGCTTGACCTTTTGCTAACACCAATGTGAGCCTCCTATGGCACGAGCGTCTGTGGATATGATGGCTGACAGAACAGGTTTCTCAAACCCTTATACTCATTTACAGATGAAGAAACAGAGGCTTGAGGGGGGTGAGTATCTGGCCAAGGACCTCGTTGCCCATCAGCAACCAAGCAGGAACTTATACCCAGGCCTGTAACTTCCCCCTCAGTAACTATTTCTGCCTCCAGGCTCCCAATACATACGCCTAGAGGACTTCTGCAATGGATCCTAGGGCTCTGTGACATGCCCAGGCCTCTCTTTCCACGTCCCAGTGGGATCAGCAAAAACCCTTAGAAGAAATGGCTCCTGAGGCCCAAAGCCAGAAGGCACCAGGGAAGATGCTTCAAGATTTTTAGACCAATAGGCTGTGTGACTTTGGAAAAGTCATTTAACCTCTCTGGACCTCAGCCTCAATTTCTTTATCTGTAAACATGGGGTTAATAATACTTCCTGCCACAGAGAGTTACCATGAGACTTTAAGTGAGTTAATATGTGTTGAGTGCTTAGAACAGTCCCAGGCTCACAGCAAGTGCTCCACAGGTAAGGACATGGCAGACAGGAGGCATTCAGTAAGTGTTAAGTGAAGGCAAAACACCAAGCTTCTCAAGCGGTAAGATCCACGACTTCCCAGCTGTAAGCCTCACTGCGGGACTCTGAGGTGCTCTACCATCTTCATCTGCCAGTGCCTCGGGGTGCCTGGGGAAGCCAGGATTCTGGGGAATCTGGGCTGAGGGCAGAGGATGGGATGAGGGCACTTACCTGAGATCTCTGAGAACTTGGGGCTGCTACCACCACCCACCAGGGCCAGCAGGTTGCAACGGTGTAGCATTTCCACCAGACCCATGCTGCCCACCTGCTCGTGGTCTGGACAAGGACCAGGGTGTCAGTAGGGGTGGGAACCAAGGCCCAGCCCATCCCTTCTGCCCACTGCCCCACCCTCACCAACGGCTCACCCAGATGCCCCTTCTCCATCAACGGCTCCACATTGTAGATGCGCACACCTGTCTCCATGGCGCAGCAAAAGCAGCCTGGGAGGATGAGGGAAATTTGAGCTGCCTGAAAGGATGCCCAGCTGGAAGCTAGGGGCTTAACACCCACCTCTGGCCATTCTTTCCCTCCCTCCCACCCACAATGGTGCAAGCACAAGCCTCTCTCACTTTGGTCTTGGTTGAAACGGAGGCTGGTCACTCCTCGAAGTGGCTGCTGAGTCATGGTCCAGGATTGCTTCCCTGGACACAAATGGGGATAGAGTTGGGAAGAGTCCTGGGGCTTGCCCTCCAAGTCCCAGAACTCCTGTCCTCAAATGACTTCTTCCTCCTCCTCTACTACCTACTGCTCCCAGCAGGGCTACAAAGAAAACAAAAAAGGGGGATAGTCCTGGGGTCACTAAGCTTCCACGACCCTAAAGAGCATGGCCAGAAACTTCTCCGTCTTCTTCCACTTGGTTGACCCCAGCTCCAGGTCTCCCTTGACTTGGACTCCTCATCTCCTTCTTACTCCCTGGCCCTCACTGCTTGTCCAGAAATAATGGGGTAGAGGGTGTCCTTGCCCTAGTGGTATCTCTTCCCCACCCCCAGCCAATCCTGGTCCATATGCCCCATGTGGCCTGGAACCACCCCCCTCCCACCCACTTCTCATCTTCACACCTGGGCTTAGCATCCCACTCCACCACCTGCCAATAAACAGGGAAAGAGGGCTAAGACATTCACTTCTTCCCACACCTCCCTGGACCTGGCCCTGGTCCACCACCCACAGGACTTCCTCTCCTCCTGCCCTTCTGAGGCTCCCAACCTATTCCACCATGTCAGAGCCCTCGCACACCTTCCCTCTTCCCAGGCTTCTCCAAACCCCCTCAGGATCCCATGCCTAGCTCCAGATGACCCCTTCTCATGCCATGCTAACCTCTGTCCAACCAGGGCCAGCGTGGATGCACCCCAGGCCCCCTTATGCCCTAGATACCCTACAGATTCCCCTATGACTTCAAATCATCCAATCGTCCACTCCTGGGACATCCCTTTCCATGTGCTTTTGTCACTGACTCCAATGCAGACTGGCTTGAACCTACTCCCAGGAATCCCATCCCTCTTACATTCCTCCTCCAGATTCTCTATCCCCGCCCCAAACGCCCTGCCTCAGGGCACGCCTTCCTCACCAAGACTTGCCTAGGACGCACCTCCCCAAACCCCCACCTGTAACAACCCCACCAAGACGCCTGCCCCAGGCCCCTCTAAGATTCCTGCCCTAGAGCACCCATACTCCCTTCAAACCCCCCATCTCCCCAAGACCTTTGCCCAAGTACACCCCTCCCCATTCTCCAAGAGCTCAAACCTACCTTCCCCCCCTTGTGCCACCTCCACTGGACCGTCTCACTCCCCAAAGACTAATTCTTAGTACAGCCGCACTTTCCATGACCCCTTTTTAGACCCAAATTCCAAAGTTCTTTGCCACCCAAGAACCCTGCCCCGGATGCCTCCATTTCCTCATAACCAAGACCGCCCACATACTCCTACCAACGCCCGCACCCACTTAGGCTACTTGTCCGAGACTCCTCCCAACCACCAAGACCTCGCTCGGTTCAAGGGACCCACTACCCTAACCCTCTCCCAGACTCCAACCAATTCTGGGATCATGCCCCAGTTCTCCGCTGCCTGCACAAACCTGACCTCCACGCGTGCCCGATCCCAACCCCAGCTGTCGGTGCCGCCCGCGGCCCGGTTTTCTGACCTCCCGGGCCCAGACGCCCGGCTCCGGTGTTTACATTAGGTCTAACTTCCGGGGGAGGGAGTCTGTGACCGGAAGTGACTCATCCTGGCCGGAAAACGCGGCCGCAGCTCTCCTCACTGGGGTTCCAGGTCTTTGGAGCTATGTGAGTCATAGTGGCATCCTCCAGAGGCTGTGCTAGGGCCTGGCTGTCTGAGGGAGCCGAGGAGGGTGGGCGAGAGACACTTTCCCTTACTGAGCGGAAGAGGGCCGAGCACTCCCCAGTTCGGTCCTGCTCAGAGAGCGAGAGGCGTTAACTTTCTGGGCTAACGAGACTTGGGCCTCCGAGGTGGGCTAGAGCGGCCTTCCTGGCTGGAAATACTTGTCCTCCCAGATTTCCAGAGAGGCGGGTGGGGAGGCCGGGGCGGCCACAGACCTGGAGACCTTGGAAAGCTGAAACTCCCCTTGCCCAGGGGAAGCCAGCCCCTCCCCGCCCTTGGTTTTGTTTACAAAACCAAAAAAAAATGGGTTTTTACTGGTAAGAGGTAAATGCTTACCGTGGGGAAAAAAAGACCAGTTATGTGCCTACTGAAAATACTTTTTTTTTAAAGATTTTATTTTATTATTTATTCATGAGAGACCGAGAGAGAGACAGAGACACAGGCAGAGGGAGAAGCAGGCTCCATGCAGAGAGCCTGACATGGGACTCGATCCAGGGTCTCCAGGATCAGGCCCTGGGCTGAAGGCGGCGCTAAACCGCTGAGCCACCTGGGCTGCCCTGGAAATACTTTTTTAATTCAGCTTTTAACTTTTGAGGTAACTGTGGATTCACATGTAGTTTTGAGAAATAATACAAAGAAATCAGATGTACTTTTAATGGTTTCCCCCAAAGGTAACATATAAAATTAATAGTAAAACATTACAATCAGGGCATTGACATTGATACCGTCTAGCCATGGTTTTTCTCAAGTGCTGTTTTGATGCTTTTTAAAATTTTTATTAACATATAATAGAAGTCTGTTTTAATTCCAACTTTGTAACTGATTGCTGGCATTCCATGGAATAAATGTAGCATTGCTCAACTGGGTTGTTTCATGTATGAGGCTGTCAACATATTGTGAATTTGGGCTCCATATACTGCCCTAGGTGTGACTCCATTGCTGTGATCCTTGGCAAGGCCAGTTATGTGGCATTCTTCAGTCTCTACTGCCTCATGTCCCAGACCATATTTAACTCAATTCAGTTTGGGTTCTGCTACTCCCATGTCTCTGAGACTGCTCTTAACCAGATCACCTGTGAATAATCTTGCTAAACCAGCAGTCATTTCCCTACCCTCTCCTATGACTGCCCAATGCATTCCAGTTTCTTATTCCCACTCTCTTGGTTTTATCCTGTTTCTGTCTACTCTTCCACCTTTATCCAATTTCCAAATATTAGAGCATCCTTGGGTATGACTCTGGCCCCTTTGCTTTTGTAGTCAATATTCTCTCCCTAGGGGACTTCAACTTCTCTTGTATCCTTAATTATTGCAAATATTTGGGAGATCCACTAATTTAGGCCTCTAGCCTAGACCTTTTTCCTGAACACCAGACTTAGATACGTATATACGTAAATTATGGCCTGTATGACATCTTCTTGTGATGTCTCTTAAAGTAGCTCACAATTAATACATCCAAACAGATCTCAGATTTTTTTTGGCTCAAATACCCTCTTGTCTCCCTCATCTCAACTAATGGAACAACAACACTCAGTTTGTCACTCAATTCAAACAGCAGATATATCATGCTTGATTCTTCTCTGTTGTTACTGGCAAATTCTGTTTGTCTCCTTATCAAAAGGTGTCAGAAATAAACACCTCAGTCATTTACTTGCCATCAAGATGGAGGAACAGGGACTGAATTTGCTTTCTCACCTGAAACTCTCCCCCCTCAAAAAGAGCCAGACAAAATACATGAAACAATGGTTTTCAAGACATAGACATCAGGCAGTGAAAAATAGTGATCACTGAAAAATGAGAAACAAGATGAGCCTGACAATTGGCCCAGCATACTGCTTGGAGAGTTTCCATCCTACAGCACAGGAAGGGGAGACTGAGTTAGAAAGCCCTGATGACCTCCCTAAATTGAGATAGTTCAGAGAGACAAGGGTACTTAGAATTCAAAGGACAGAATATCAAGAGAGAGCTGCACAGGGAGAGAATCACAGAAATCTGCAGAGGGTCCCCTGTGAGCATTCAGCAGAGTAGCGATCAGTGCATGCACCGAAAAAACTACCCAAGGCTACGGAAAGGACCATCCAAATGAATTAGAGGGAACAGGGCCTGGCACACTGGCAGGGAATAGTTCTTGCTCCTATAAACTAGACTGGGAAAACTCACAATTTGCAGGGCGTAAAATACACAGGAAAGTCTTGCCTCAGTCATGGAAAAAAAAACTAACTGTAGGCTTAGTACTGCTCCAGACCCACTTAACAAATCATAAGACCCTGAAAAAGGAAACTGTCTCCAAGTAACTTAACTATCTCAGTACAAAGGTCAGGAAGATTTATAAGAATAATAATAATCCAGCACCTAAAAATGTAAAATTTATGATGTCTATTTCCAAACAGACATGATCAGGCATAAAAAAGGCATAAAAAGAAGCAGAAAGTGGGCAGCCTGGGTGGCTCAGCAGTTTAACGCCTGCCTTCAGCCCAGGGCATGATCCTGGAGACCTGGGATCCAGTCCCACGTCAGGCTCCCTGCATGGAGCCTGCTTCTCCCTCTGCCTGTGTCTCTGCCTCTCTCTCTGTGTCTCTCATGAATGAATGAATGAATGAATAAATAAATAAATAAATAAATAAATAAATAAATAAATAAATAAAATCTTTTTTAAAAAAGGAAATACAGTAACATGGAAGAACCTTAAAAATAAATGCTAAGTGAAAGAAGCCAGTCAACAAAAAACTGCATATTATAAGATTCCATGTACAAGATGTCCAAAATAGGCAAGTCCATAGAGACAGAAAGTACATTAGTGGTTGCCTAGGGCTGACAGCAGCAGTGATGGCCCATGGGTGTGGGGATAGGGTGGTGATTGGGATCAAAGAGCACTGAATGCTAAGGGGTATGGGGTTTCTTTTTGGGGTGATGAAAACATTCTAAAACTGTGTGTTATAATGGTTGCACAACAGTAAACTAAAAAGAAAATCATGCACTTTCAATGATGAATTATAGGGCAGCCCCAGTGGCTCAGTGGTTTAGCGCTGCCTTCAGCCCGGGCATGATCCTGGAGTCCTGGGATCGAGTCCCACGTCAGGCTTCCTGCATGGAGCCTGCTCCTCCCTCTGTCTGTGTCTCTGCCTCTATCTCTCTGTGTGTCTCTCATGAATAAATAAATAAAATATTTAAAATAAAATAAATGATGAATTATATAGTCCGTGAATTATAGAAAATTACATTGTAGAGGATTAATGACTAGACATCACAGAAGAAAACTGTTAGTGACTTGAAGTCATACCAATAGAAACTAAAGAAATGAAACAGAAATATAAAGAATCCAAAAAATAAAGAGAGCATAAATGAGCTATTGGACAATTTCAAATGGTCTTATATACAGGGAAATAGAATCCCAAAAGGAGAGGAGGAGGGACAGGAAAAAGTATGTGAAGGAATAATATCCTAAAACTTTCCAAAATTAATGAAAAACATAAGCCCACAGATCCAAAAAATTTAATGATTTCCACTACAAAAAAAAAAACATGAAAAATACTAAATGCAGGTACATTGTAATGAAATTACTCCAAACTGATGATAACAGAGAAAAATTCTAAAAGCAGCCAGAGAAATAAGACGTGTTACATAAAGGGGAAAAAGAGAGAAAAATGACATCAGATTCTCATTAGCAATAATACAAACAAGAAGACAGTAGGGCAACATGTTTAAAAGCGGATGTCACTGGGGATCCCTGGGTGGCTCAGAGGTTTAGCGCCTGCCTTTGGCCCAGGACATGATCCTGGAGTCCCGGTATCAAGTCCTTGGATCAAGTCCCACATCGGGCTCCCTGCGTAGAGCCTGCTTCTCTCTCTGCCTGTGTCTCTGCCTCTCTCTCTCTCTGTGTGTCTCTCATGAATGAATGAATGAATGAATAAATAAATAAATAAATAAATAAGGATGTCACTTTCTGAATGGTAGAGTAAGGAACTCCCAAATCCATGCCTCCATAAAAGTAATGAAAACACTGACCAACAACAATAGGGACAAAAAAAAAGGTCCCAATTAACTTTCTGGGAACTTTACATAAGCCAAAAGCTTGAAACAGTCTGAGGAGCATTAAAGAAAACTACCTGAATCTTGATAAGAATGAGCTTTGTGCATTTTAATGTACCTTATTCCTGCCCCCCTCTACCCAGCTCCATCATACCAATGAAAACCAGCAGCCTAACAGGATGAAGGTAGGAAAATGGGCTTGGAGCTCTCCCGAAAGCTACATTCCTAAAAATTGTCATCCTCTTTAAAAATCACGTTAACATAAATAGCATTTTTTCCAAAACAAAAAACATTTGTGAGAAGAGTGGCATTGTTTTACATTTCTGTAAATCTCTTTAATGTTTGGTTTATTTTTTTTAAGATTTTTTAAAATGCAGTTTATTTTTTTTAAAAGATTGTATTTATTTATTCATGAAAGAGAGGCAGAGACATAGGCAGAGCGAGAAGCAGGATCCCTGCAGGAAGCCGGATGTGGGACTCAATCCCAGGACTCCAGGATCACGCCCTGGACCAAAGGCAGATGCTCAACTGCTGAGCCACCCAGGCATCCCATAAAGATTTCTTATTTATTCACTTGAGAGAGAGAGAGCACAAGCAGGGGAAGAGACAGAGGCAGAAGGAGAAGCATACTCCCAACCAAACTGGGAGCCCAACATGGGGCTTGATCCCAGGACCTAGAGATCATGACCCTGGCCTAAGGCAGAGCTCAATCATCTGAGCCATCCACACACCCCTGATGTTTGGTTCAATAGAAAATAGCTAGATTCTCATATGCTCCCGAGTTCAATCTCGAGATAATCACATATTTGATGTCCTTTGGAAAACTCTTACTACACACT